GGGCGGGGCCAGCGGCTGCCGCTCAGGGGCTGGGCGGGGCCGGGGCGACCTCCGCCCCTCGCCAGGGGGTGGGGCCGGACCGCGGGCTGGGTGGGGGCGGGAGCGGTCGGTGGACTCCCGCCGCCTCCCTGTCCAGGTGCCCTACGTCGGCGCGAGCGCGCGGCAGGTGGAGCACGTGTTGTCGCTGCTGCGAGGCCGCCCTGGAAAAACGGTGGATCTGGGCTCTGGCGACGGCAGGATCGTAAGTGCCCGCGCCTGGCTCTTGGCCGCCCCACGCCCCCCACCTGCCGGCGGGCGCCCTGCCCCATCCCGTTTCCCACCTATCGGTGCCCACAGGTGCTGGCGGCCCACCGGTGCGGCCTCCGCCCCGCCGTGGGCTATGAGCTGAACCCGTGGCTGGTGGCTCTGGCGCGGCTGCACGCCTGGAGGGCCGGCTGTGCCGGCAGCGTACGCTATCACCGCGAGGATCTCTGGAAGGTAACCTGGGGAGCCCTGGCCACCAGCTGACACCTGCGAGGGCTGGGGGCCGGGACTCGGAATCTGCGGGGACCCCGTGCCCACCAGGCCTCTCCCCGGCTGGGGCAACGCCTCTTCCTGCAGGTGAGCCTGAGGGACTGCCGAAACGTGTCTGTGTTCCTGGCCCCTAGCGTGGTAGGTCCGGGGTTGCCAGCCCGCTGGGAAGTCCCTGCCGCACCCCAGGGTATTCACTGCCCTGAGGCCTGGGCCGGCCTGGGGGATGCTAAGCTTAGGCCTGGGAAGGGGGCGCGGGGTGGCTGCTTTCCGCTGGCCCCACGCTCTGTATTCTGCTCTTCTCTCCTTCAGCTCCCACTGCTAGAGGACAAGCTGCAGGCAGAGCTGCCTGCCGGGGCCCGCGTCGTGTCTGGGCGCTTCCCGCTCCCCACCTGGCAGCCAGTGGCCATGCTTGGCGAGGGCCTGGACCGAGTCTGGGCGTATGAGGTTCCTGGGGGCGGAGGAACCTCCGCTTGGGAGGCTGCTTCCTCTCAGTTGCCCCTGGACCAGGCTGCTCCTGGACCTACTACTGCCTCTGTCGCGGGGACCCCCATTTCTCAGGCAGGCTAAATGTTCAGACAGATAAAGACTCTGTGAGTTCTATCCTTATTCATGTTTTGGTGGGGGGGCTGGCTGGGAGGGCTCTGGGCTGGCTGTGACGGGATCTGCTCTGCTCCTCAGCAGACGAGCTAGTAGCTGCCGGTCCTTGGATCCTGGGGCTTGGCTGGAGGCACAGCCCCCACTTTCCAGGGGTCCCCTGCACTGGCCAGCTTCCTCAGCCTCAGGATTTCCTGCTTGTACCTGCTCAGAGGGACCAAGCTTTAAGTGACCTGCCCAGCTGTGGATGGGTCTGCCTCTAGCCCCCGAGATGGCCATCATCTTCCATTCCGGCCAGACCAGGGCCCTCGGGTCACACCCAGCTTCCCTCCCAAGCGCCCACCTGCCCAGGTGCTGATCCACGTACTCCTGAAGCTCAGAAAGTTGCTCTTCAGCCTTCGTGGCCCGGACCAGCAGCTGTGCCCGCTCCCGTTCCAGCTCTGCCTGGCATGGGGGTGTAGGGCATGAGCCGGGGCATGGTATCAGGGGGGCCCAGGCCAGCCCTTGCCTCCTACCTGGGTGCTGCGGGAAAACTCCCGGAGCTTCTGGTGGATCTGGGCCCAGGATTCAGCTTGCAGACCCCTGAGGGGAGGAGGAGGAGGAGTGGTTTCCAGAGCTGGTGTGGTGACACTGGGGCAGACCTGTGACTGCTAAGGTTCCCAGAACTGGGAGGGGACACCTCCTGGGAGTGAGTGAGGGACAGCGTGGCCCCCTGTGCTCCTGTGGCCCAGCCTAGGCCTTGGAGCCCTCTGTGCATGGGGTTGGTCCCCGGCCTGGGGGTCTGCTGGCTGCTCAGGGAGGGCTAAACCACAGGCCAGTCCAGACAGTACCCCAGCGTCAGCAGGATGCCACCCCACAGTGTACCCTAAACCCTGGGAGATGGTCCTTGGGGAGCCCTGCCCCTGGTACAGCTGCAAACATGGAGGCCCAGAGGCACAGGCTGGCTGGGGCACCCGGCACCCTGCTCCCGTCCTCAGGGCCTCCAGGTCTCAGTGGAGACGTTGCTCACGTGTGCTCTCCCAACCCTCCATGTTCAAGGCCCGCAGCAGGCCCCTTTTCCCTCTCCTGTGATTATCAGTGTCCCTGCTACCAGAGGGACCCGGGGGTGGGTACATGCCACTGAGTGCACTGCTGTGACCAGACCCTGGCCAGCAGGAGGCATGGTGGAGTAACTGGGGGACTCAGGGCTCTCTCCCTGCAGGCCTCCCCCACACCTGTGAGGGCACTCACTGTGGCTCTGATGCTCCCCTCTGGGTGGCATCACTGGGTCCCTTCTGTGGGCATGAGAGCAGCGCCCCAGGCCGGCCATGCTGCAGAGGTTTGTGGTGGGGACGCCTCAGTTGGCTGGACAAGGCAGGCCCCTCAGATGCCCGGGCCTGGGGTCTCTGTGGAGCCCAGGATGAAGCCTGGGGCAAGTTCTGGGGCTCTGTGCCTCTAGGCCAGTGTGGAGCAGCAGGTGGGTGGGAGATACCTGGGCCTGGAGTTTCTGGGGGTCTCCGGCCTCACCTGGTCCTCCCGCTGGCTGAAGTCAGTGACCAGCGGCATGGGCAGTGGTTCCAGGTCCGAGCTAGCTGCATCGAAAGTAGCTTTGGGGTTCCCAGGTACCCTGTCGGGGTAGGCCGGTGTCTGTGTGAGCCACTCCTGCTGCACACTCAGCTTTGCGGCACAGAGGCTGAGAGATGCCTCCCACCCCAGGCAGCGGTGTTAGGGCGAGGCCCACCTGTAGGCACCCAGCAGCTCCTCATGCCTGCGGCTCAGGTCTGCCAGCCGCTTTTGATAGGTGCGGGCGGCCCGGGCCAGCTGCTGTTCACGGCCGCGGTACGCTACCCGGATGTCCTCCAGAGTGGCTTCCAGGAATGTCCGGAGAGTCGTGCTGGCTGGTTCCTGGCCTGCACTGTCTGCGCGCTCCTGGAGGTGGTGGGCTGGTTCCGCATGGGGCCCACCCCATCTTTTCCAGCCATACCCCCCACCCCAGCAGACTGAGCAGTGTGGGGGCCCACGAGATGTCCCTGAAGTTGTCCAACATGCCCAGGCCAGGCTGGGCTCCCCAGGCCTCAGGGTGCTCCTGCAGGGCTCACCACCGCCTCCCGGGCACAGCGCTGCAGCCGCAGGACGTACTCCTCCTTCAGCTGCTTGAGCTGCAGTTGCAGCCGGGCATTCTCAGCCTCTGCCTGGTGGAGCTGGCCCTGGCAGCTGCATAGCACCTGGGGCAGAGGCAGCCCTCAACTTGTGTCCCAGGAATGGACCTGGATGGGCCTGTGGGGCCCCACCCTCCGGGTCTCCAAGCAGGCAGGGCAGGGCCTCACCACAGCCTGTGTGGCCAGTTGATGCCCGGCTGCCCTGGCCTCCTCTCGGGCTCCCTGCAGCTGCTGGCCCAGGGCTGCCCTGAGGACATGGGGTGAGGCTCAGCAGGCCCACGGTGGGTGAGGGGTTCTCTGCTCCGCAGTGGGGCCCTGCTGAGCTGTCCAGGCCCCAGGTGAGATGGCCACTCACACACGAGTCTCCAGTGCCTGCTGCCGGGCCTCCTGACGCTCCAGTGCCCACTTTACTTCTTCCTGAAGCTGCCCCTGGCCCCCCAGCAGCTGTGGGGCACACAAGGCTGGTGGATGAGAGCCTAGGCTTGGGGTCCCCTGTGCTGCCCTCTCCCCTGAGCTAGGGGGCTGCACACTCACGCCACTCCCCAGCCTCTGCTGCTTGTTCCGGGGACTAGTGAAGTCCTTGGGCTGCACCTGAATAGAAGGGAGGCAGGAAGGACCAAGGGGTGGGTGAGCCCCGGTCTCACTGAGTCTCCTGCTGAGGCTTCCATCTGGCCTCTCCCAGCCAGGCCCTCCATATGACCTGGAGTCTGCGGTCATCAGAGTGTCCAGGCTCCTGGGCTTTGTGTCTGCGCCCTTGGGCTAGTGCCCGGCAGTGCCGGGGGTCAGCCTCCAGCTCCAGCACCCGGCTCTCCAGCCGAAGGATCTGTGGGACAACTGGCATGAGCGGTGCACCTGCCTGCGGGCTGCTGGGGGAGGTGAGCATCAGCCCAGCACACGCCTGGGCACACAGCATGCATGGGGCAGGCTGAGACCCACGGGTGGCACTCTCACGTGCACGCCCACACAGGGCACATGTCCTGGGCCTGCACCCCTGTTTCTTGTGCACTGAGGGTGGCACATGGCTGCTCACCTCACTCTTCAGCTGGAAGATTTCAGCCTCGTGCTGCTCCTGCAGGCGGTGGGTTGTGATCTGAATGTCAATGAGCTCCTTGGAGATCTGTGGGCGGCCAGGTGAGAGGTGGCATCTGCGGGGTCTGCCGGCACCCTCCCTCCTCCGCACCCTGGGCACCCACACCCACCTGCAGCTGCTGCTCCTCACTCAGTGCTAGACCTGGCGGGACCTCTGCCCCCAGGCTGGTGGCCCAGGCTGTGGTGCCCCCAGGAGCTCCTGGCAGCCAGTCCTTGGCTCGTGGCACAACCTGGAGAGGCACCACCACCCATTCCCCAGGGTGGGCTGTGGCCCCACTCCCATGCAGTCACCAGCCCTGTTCCCCACCTGGCTAGGCTGCAAAAGTCCTTCCCCTAGCTGAGATCAGACCCACAGTACAGGGACCTGCACCCTCCTGGCCTCTGCGGGAAAGGGCAGACTCCAGCCCCATGGAAGGAGCTGCAGCTTCCCCTAGGACTCACATTCTCCACCCGCCGAAGGGGAGGTCCTGGCCTGGGGCCTGTGGTGGCTGTATGCTCCATAGGCGAGGGGACCCTGGCCTGCTCCGAGCCGGGTATCGCCTCCACGCCTGGCCTCCCTGTGGCTGCCGCTGCCACCACAAGCACTGCTGCGCGCGTTGCCAAGGCCTCTGTTGGTCCCAGGAAACTGCCAGGGCCCTGCCCACAGGGGCAGGGCAAGACCCACGATTGTGGAGGGGAAGGACAGCTCTTCCTCTCTGTGCCTCCGTTTCCCCCTCTGGGGAATGCGGCCCAGCGCTCCCTGCACATTCCCTGTGGGGGTGGAACCAGGTGCGTGAAAGCACTCAACCTGGGCGCGGCGACAAGCACGCGGGACGGAGCGCGCTACCCGCACGCAGAGTGCTCTGGGCCACACTCGTTGGACACCTTCTGTGAACCTTGCAGTGCTGGCTGAGCCCCGGGACGCGAAGGTGAACAAACTGGACTGATCTCTGCACCTCCGGCCTGAGAAGTGGGGGGGCAGACGTCCCCATTTGGGACAGAGAACTCGGAACCGACTGGCTCAGCCCGGGCTCCTGAGGGCTTCCTGGAGGAGGTGCCAGCGCCAGGCCCGGCGGGGTCAGAACGTGCGCGCGGCGCCCCACCGGGCACGCGCGCACCCTTGGCGGGCCTTGTGGTCTCACGGCGCGCAGGATCCCGGCCGGGCGGAGGCGAGGCGCGTCCGCGGAGGGGGGCGGTTGGCGGCTCCCGAGCCCAACGCCGCACTCCGTCCGGACCCCGTGACCGGCGGCCGAGGCCCCGCCTCCATCTGTCCGTCCTTCGGGCCGTCCGCGCAGCCGTGCGGGTGAGGCGGGCGGCGGGGAAACGCGGCTGCCTAGGGTCGGGGTCTGGCGGCGGGGCGGGGCCTGGGAGGAAGGCGGGGCCTTCGGGGGCCGGGGCTCGGGCTGGGGGCGGGGCCGGGGCGGGTTCGGGAGGGGCCGGGTTCCGCTCTCGAAGGAGCCGGGCGCGTGGAATTCCACGCGAGTGCCGGGGAGTTCCTGGGGAGCCTCCAGTCTCCTCCTCTGCACCCCCGCGTGTTGACTGACCCGCCTCGCACAGCCCTTCCTAAGGTGTGGAGAGCGGGCCCCGCCCTGAAGGGGCACCGTGGGCTGGGGGGCCTGTTTTGGAGCAGGCACCCGTGGCCGAGCTCCGCGGTCATGAAGGTCAAGGTCATCCCAGTGCTTGAGGACAACTACATGTACCTGGTCATCGAGGAGCTCACGCGCGAGGCGGTGGCCGTGGACGTGGCCGTGCCCAAGAGGGTGAGGGCAGGCCGCGGGTGGCAGGGACCCGGCAGTGCCCCCCAGAGCCTCCCCGACCCCCTGGCATGAGCGGTCCCCACGTGCTCTGCTCTTCGGGCGTCACTGGCGGCTGGGGTTGCTCGATTATCTCGGGGCTCCCTAAAGTTAGGGCGCCTCTGGCCTCCGCCCTTCCCCTGCTGCCTGGCCATCCCCGCACGTGCAGGGGCGCAGCTACTGCCCACTGGGTCCCCGCTCTCCGGCGCTGCCCGGGGTCCTGGCCGGCCTGGGGCGCTGAGCGCGTCGGACCTGGCGCCCCGATATGGAGAGGAAGGGAATGGCCCACTGGGACCGTCTGTGTCATCACCACTCCCATCCCTTTCAGCTGCTGGAGATCGTGGGCCGGGAGGGGGTGTCCCTGACCGCCGTGCTGACCACCCACCATCACTGGTGAGCGCCGGCGGGGCGGGAGGAAGCGCGAGGACGCCGCCCCGCCCCACCCGGACCTGACCTGGCCCCGCCCGCCCGTCCGCAGGGACCACGCGCGGGGAAACCCGGAACTGGCGCGGCTGCGTCCCGGACTGGCGGTGCTGGGCGCGGACGAGCGCATCTTCTCGCTGACGCGCAGGCTGGCGCACGGCGAGGAGCTGCGGGTGAGCGCGCGCCCCCGGGAGGGCGGGGTGTGCGCCCCGGGACCGCCCGCCCTCACGGGTCCGCCTGCTCCTCCGCCGCAGTTTGGGGCCATCCACGTGCGCTGCCTCCTGACGCCCGGCCACACCTCCGGCCACATGAGCTACTTCCTGTGGGAGGACGATTGCCCGGACCCCCCCCGCCCTATTCTCGGGTACCCGCCGCGCGGAGCGCGCCCACCCCGCCTCCCGCCGGCCCCGCCCCCTCTGCTCTGACCCGCCCTCCCCCGCCAGGGGACGCGCTGTTGGTGGCCGGCTGCGGCTCGTGCCTGGAGGGCAGCGCCCAGCAGATGTACCAGAGCCTGGCCGAGCTGGGCACCCTGCCCCCCGAGACGGTGAGCGGGACTGGGCCCTCCCCTCCTTTCCCGTGGGCACAGCCCCCACGCTCCGCACCGGCACTGCGCTGGGGTGCGGAGTCAATGCCCACCAGAGGGCAGACCGGGCGGGGGAGGCCAGGCAGCGGCGCGAGCACTGCCCGGCTTCCCGGCCGCGTGCGCGCTCACCGAGGCTCTTCCTCCAGAAGGTGTTCTGCGGCCACGAGCACACGCTCAGCAACCTGGAGTTTGCGCAGAAGGTGGAGCCCTGCAACGACCACGTGAGAGCCAAGCTGTCCTGGGCTAAGGCACGGCCCCTTCCCGCCTCGGCTGGAGGGTGGGGGAGGACGGGCTTCGGGGGCTCTCAGACAAGCCCCAATGATGACCAGGGCCTGTGGTCACTCCAGAAGAGGGACGAGGACGATGTGCCCACGGTGCCCTCGACTCTGGGCGAGGAGCGCCTCTACAACCCCTTCCTGCGGGTGGCGTGAGTATGGCTGTTGTCTGGGGCCTCGGCAGGCATTGGGACCCTTAGGAAGGCATCTGGGGGCCTCGTGGAGGGCTGAGCGTCCCTGGCTCGGGGGAGGCTGCTCATTAAGTGTCTTCCTGCCCACCCTCCCGCGTCGGCGGTGGGCCCCGCGCCTCACTGCACCCCTCCCGCAGAGAGGAGCCGGTGCGCAAGTTCACGGGCAAGGCGGTCCCCGCCGACGTCCTGGAGGCGCTCTGCAAGGAGCGGGCACGCTTCGAACAGGCAGGCGAGCCGCGGCAGCCACAGGCACGGGCCCTCCTTGCGCTGCAGTGGGGGCTCCTGAGTGCAGCCCCCAACAAGTGAGCGCCCCCCCAGACCCTCACACGGCTGGGTCTCACATCCCTCTTCGCGACCTCAGCCAGCTGGACTCACGCAAGGGGCACCTCTGGAAGCTTCTTCGAGGCTCTGGCCTGCCAGCTGCCCAGCCTCAGAGGGTGGACGTGCATGACCACTCTGTCAGGCCCGTGTGGGCCTGGAGACCTGGGTGTTTGGGAAGTGGGGTGCACGGAGCTTCTGAACCTTGAATAAAGCCGTTCTCCGTGCTGGCAGACGTGCCAGGAGAGTAGCTGTTTTCACAGGCGCATTTGAGGAGGGTGCCTTTATTAGACGTAAGCGCTAGGAGATGGGCCTTGTGGGGACCTGGCTGGGGGATGTTGCAGCCAGTGATGCCCGCTGTTGTCCTCGGCTCGCCCCTCGGGGCTTGCCCCCTGCTTTCCAGGGGGCCCGGTGGGACCAGCTCTGTCTCCCACCTTCGCAGAGCTTCAGGGGAAGCCTCTAGAAGTTGGGGGTGATAACCCATCTTGTTCTGTCTCAGGCAACCCCAGGACAGGCTGAAGCGTCTCACACACTTGGGTTTATCTGTGGGCCGCAGCCCAGGGACAGCAGAAGGGGCTCTGGAACCTCGGGGAGCCTTCTGTTGCCTGGGCAGCCCCACCCCACCTGGGCAGAGCCAGAGGCACCCGGACTGGAGGTGATGGGGCAGCTGCAGTCCTGGCCAGTCCTGGCTCCTACTTGGGTCCCAGCACACCCTGCAACTCACTGAGAATTTTGGGGGAGCCCTGGGGTCTTGTGTCACGCACGCACAAGGCCTCCTGGGAGTGCGGGTCCCGCTGCCCCTACCACCGGATGCCCAGGCCAGTGCTGGCCTTCTCCACGGCGTGGTACTGCGTGTGCAGCAGGCAGCACGCACGCTCCGAGTCCGTGCCCTGCAGCCAGTGCGTGTACAGCTCCTGAACCCCAGGTGCGTCCTCGGGCGCCTCCACCCGGACCATGCCGTACAGCCTCTCCACGTGCTGGAGGAGCTCCCTGCTGGGCCGGTCTGGGGCCTGGAGCTGGCCCCCACCATTCAAGCAGCCTGTGGCAGAGCAGACGGGACACGTGGGTCACAGCACGCGCCCTGGCCGAGCCTCCTGACCACCGGGAGCAGGGAGGTGACCGGGCGCCTGTGCCCCACTTCTTCCCACTCCCAGCCTGCTGGACGGTGGCCCACCGCTCTGGTCCCAGGAGGGGCCCTCGTGCGCCGTCCCTCTCGGGAGCTACCTGAGGGGCAGGCCATGACCTCCACGTAGTGGTAGGGGCAGCGCCCACGCTTGAGCCTCTGCACCAGGTTCTGGATGTTTCGGAAGCCGTAGGCCATTGCAAAGTGCAGCAGCACCTGGCCTTCCTTCTCCAGCGTCACCTCCTGGAAGTCCTTGTTCCTGGGGGCACAGACGGGGTTTGTCTATGTGGTACAGCCCCCCGGTTCCGGCCCGCCTGGATGGGGAGGCCTGCTGGGGCCAGGAGACGACCAGGCAGCTCTCAGTGCTCCCTCCCTCTCTACTGGGCAGGGTGAAGGACAAGGACAGACAGAGAGGGTGGAAAGCTCACTTCCACGAGTCCAGCAGGTGACCTCACCCCCAGCCTTGGGCTCCCTATCTGTAAGATGGGCCTCCCTCCCCAGGAATGTCTGTGAGGCCCCAGCCCTCCCTCCTGGGACACGGCCTCACATGCCCCAGGCCAGGTACCTGCCACCCTTGCCCATGCTGGCCTCTTGGGCTCAGGGTCCCCATTCCCCACAATGGGCAGACTGAGGCCTGGAGCACTGTGGTGCATTCACAGCCAGGAAGGCCCTGCCTGTGCCCAGGGTCCCCTCCAAACCCTGCAGGCCGTGCTCCAGCCAGCCTGCCTCTGCGGGAGGACCCCAGGCCGAGGCAGCAGCCCGAGGAAGGCAGTGGGCAGTGTGGCCCCTCCGCCCAGAGATCTGGCCCATCCCACTGACCTCAGGGGTTTGTAGGTAACCTCAGCCACTTGGATTCCAAAGAGCTCTTGGGCCGCATGCCGGAACACGTGCTCCAGGTAGCCCCCCGAGCCCCCTCCCCGATGGCTGGTGGGCTCCTCTGCAGAGGCTCCGCTGCACCTGGCAAGGAGGGAGAGGCCTCAGCACAGTTGTGGCTGCTGCCTGCCGACCTCCCGAGCATGTGAGTGTTTGCATTTCCAGGTGGGGGACAAGTCACAGGCACAGAGGAACAGCTCTTGCGTCCCTGGCCATCACGGGAGGCCGGCCACTTCCTGGCCACCATGGGGGCTCAGCCACTACTTTTTTTTTTGAAATGGAGTTTGTCTTTGTTGCCCGGGCTGGAGTGCAGTGGCGTGATCTCGGCTCACTGCAACCTTCGTCTCCCAGGTTCAAGCGATTCTCCTACCTCAGCCTCCTGAGTAGCTGGGACTACAGGTGCCCACCACCACTCCCGGCTAGAGTTTGTATTTGTGGTAGAGACAGGGTTTCAACATGTTGGCCAGGTTGGTCTTGAACTCCTGACTTCAGGTGATCCACCCACCTCAGCCTCCCATAGTGCTGGGATTACAGGCGTGAGCCACAGCTCCTGGCCACTCAGCCACTTCTGTGGACGCTGAGATGGGCCGTGGGGAAGCAGGCGCAGAGCGGGGAGGGGGCAGGGGATGCTTCTCCAGAGGCAGCGTTAGATGCTAAAATAATGGTTCTTGGTGCCAGACATACGTACAGGCTGTCCAGAGGGTGGGGCTCCAGGTCACGCAGGGAGACGCCCTCTTCCTCCAGCAGCCTGAAAACTTCTCCTGCAAGGAAGCCATAGCACAGACGCCCTTCCACTGAGATCCGGAAACCAAGTCAGAGAACAGCCAAGCTACCTGCCTCCCTAGCAGTCGTCTGCAGTTTGGCCCTAGAGGGTCCCAAATGTCCACCCCAGCCCATGGTGGGAGGCCAGACCCGGTCACTTCTGAAGCCCCTCTGGAGGCTGCCTGGTCCTGCCCAGGGAGGTGTGGTGGCGGGCGTGGCCGCTGTGCCCATCCAGCATCCGTCTGTCCAGCCTCTCGGGCAGTTTGCTTTTCTGCCTTATATTTGGGAGGCTCGGGGCTGCTCAGCTCAGGAATGGGTGAGTAATGGGAGCTGAAGGGGCTGCACTGGAGAATCGCCTCCGCCTCCAAGGACTCATTTCAGAGCCAACAAGGAGGTGCTGTGGGGGCCCATCTGCACAGGTCCCCAAGACGGGCTCCAAGGGGAGAGAAGGGGGTACGCGACCCCCCAAGCTCCAGCCAGGGCCCCTGTAGGCAGGATCCTGGGCAGTCGCCACCTGTGCCTGGGGCTCAGGAACCAGGCCAGGAGGCTGGAGGGCTGGCTCAGGGCCGCCCGGCGTGACTGCACCTGTGGTGAGGACACAGTCCACGTCCCGTGTCTGGTGCTCCTCGTTGAAAAAGTCGGGTCTGGAGGCTTCCAGCTTCTTGTCATAGCAGGGCATCACCGTGACGTGGTAGACCTTGTCAGGGGTCAAGTGCTATGGGGAGAAAGCAAGCCTAGTCTCCCCAGTCCCAGCAGTGAGGTGGCCGAGGCGCGGCCTGGATCTCAGCCATCCTGCAGCCAGGCCAGACCCTGAGGGACCACCAGCCTCACCCTGTTTCCCAGCAAGCCTCCTGCTGGCTCTTTGGATGTGTCCCCGGACAGGACGGGCCCTGGCTGTCACAGAAAATGACACTGACCCGTTCCCAGCATGCCTGTGCCCCCTAACAGCCAAGGCCAATGGAGGAGAAGGGGCCTCCCACGGCTCAGCTCAGGCCCTCTCACTGCGTGATGTCACCGGGAACCAACCAGCCCAGGTGAAATTCTGCGTCCAGATGGGCGGGAGGGGCTGCAGGGGACGGGCGCTCCAGGCCCAGGCACCGCCAGGGCCACCCTCGCCCTCTTCCGCCCCCTGCTGGCTGAGTGGCATCAGGCTCAGATCCCGCTGGGCCTCAGGTGGGGGCCCTGCTGGGTGTGCTCGTGGACCTGGTAGCCCAAGGGGTGGGCGCCTAGCCTGGGTTGCCCGGAGCCTCCGGCTCCCTCAGCCTCAGGCCTGGCTGCCTCTGGGTGAGTGGTAGGCACCTCTGAATCAGAACATGGTGCTCTGTTGCCCAGCCGGAGGGGAAGGGCCTGGACCAGGAAGGAAGGAGGGCGGAGGTGCGCCCGGGAAGGCAGAACCCACGCAGAGGACTCTGATTCTTGCAGCCTCGCAGCCAGCGGCCAGCGCGGTCACTTCCGGCTGCTCCCCAGCCTGAGCCTGGGGCTGGCCCAACGCTGTTACCTGCTGCTGTGCAAAGAAGTCCTTGACCAGGGAGCCCATGACCTGCTGCGGCGACCGGGCGGTGCTGATGTGGGGCAGGATGAAGCTGCCGTGGGTCTTCTCGGCGTAGCAGATCCAGCCTGAGGTGACAGGGGCACGTGGGGCTGGCGGAGGCGCACGGCAGCCTCTGCACCCACCGGTGGCAGCACCACATTCCAGGGGCGGCCCACTGGCACAGATCACGGTGACGCAAAAGAGCGCCGGTTCCTGTTCTCTCCCACCCCCGTGTGGGGCTTGGGTACAGGCGGGCACTGCCTAGGGGACCTGAGGTGACTTCGGGCGGCTCCCAAGGCAGGCAGCTCCTTCTCCAGAAAAGGCCACGTGAGCCGACGCTTCTAACCTGTCCTTCAGAACCGCCTGTGTCCCCAGCCCCCACCCCACCTTGTCATTGCTGTCCACATGTCCCGTTTTCACTTCACTTGAACTTGACCCTCACCACCTGCACGTGAGCACACCTGGGCAGGCGGAGGCCAGCACGGGCAGGGCCTGTCCTCGGAATCGCCGCACGAACTCTCGCTGGCTCTCCAGGAGGCTGAAGTTCCTTGAGAAGGCTGTGTCGAAGACGAAGTGCACCCCTGGAAGGAGGGGCCTGTGTAAGCCCACGCAGGACGCCCACTCACGCACAAGCCAGCATGCGGAGCCCCGTGGTGCTGCTGGGGGGCCATGTGTGGTAGGTGTCCACTTCCCATGCCAAAGCATCAGTGCCACCGTGGTGACCTCCTGAAGCCACCCTCCTGGCTCAGCGTGGCTGATCCAGGGAACTGCCATGTACGCTGCTCCTGGTGACCCTCCCTAGGGCACAGCAGGACACTGCCTGCTGGACTGGCCCCTCGGACTCTGCACAGCGTTGACCCCACACGCAGCAGGACTCCTGGAGCACCTGCTGGCTCCAAGCCCACCAATTAGAGCTGCTCGGTAAACC